GTGTGTAAATCTCAATAGGACGCACCAATAATACATTTTATTTAAGTGCAGGCACATCGATCTTCCAATATGTAAATCAATATTTGGGGAAATCCCCCGAATCTGTTGAATCACTTACATAATTTGGCTATTAGCTTATGTTTCTGTTTCCAATACCGAGGGGAAGTGTACTTTTAAACTAGTGTGTGTGTGTCTGTGTGTATGTGTGTAAAAGCTTGTTGGACTAACGATGTCGTTTGACAAGTGCGGTGAGTAAATAGACAAAGCTGGGATCGAGCTGAATCGTAAGCAGCCTTAATTAACACCAGCTTAAATAGTCGGACAGGGCACTGCAGAAAAAAGTCAAAGAAAGACTTTCAGGCTGAGTGCCCCTTGACAAGCTCTTTTTTCCTAGTGTCATTCAATATTTAATGCACTCTGCTTGTAACGCTCCTACTGGTGCTCCTTTCTCAGCAAGTACCTTATTTTTCACGGTGCTCATAGTAAAAGACAACCCTGTAGGGAAAGAACAGTGAAATTGCTTATTGTTTTTCAAATACGTACCAGAACTCGGTGCATATATATATATATATATATTATAGCTGCTGTTTAAAGCAGTGTGAGCTTTCAGTTTTCAGTTTTCAGACAGTGTTAAGTAACATAATCTAGTAGAAGCTAACTTCAGCCGAAGAAAAAAAGCTTTACAAAAGGAATTTGACTGTGCTACTGTTATTTTGTTAGCACGTTTTAAATGCTTATTTTCATGCGGGGGGTGGGGGGGCTTAACACTAGCAGAGCTAATTATTTAACATAATAGAGACGAAAATTGGCGAGAAAATGTTATTGGCAAAGTACTAGCAAGATATAAAAGCAAAACATACTTTCAGAATGCAATTAAATACACGTTTTGTGCAGCTACAAACAAATCAATTTCATAGCTTTTGAGCTGGAGTATTTTACAAAAAAATCAAATTGCAATGAAAATAAAAAAATTAAACCGAAAAAAATACTTGCACGGGTGAGGGAAAGGGATATCGCGTCCGTCCAAGCATATCATCGGGTTATTTGTGTTCATATTTATACATGATCTGGAACTGATTGTGTATTTTTATCTGTTATGAATAAATTTGTATAAAATAGGATGCGGTTTGTAGAGAAAAAAAATGACCATCAGCCATAATCCTCATGTTTATAATCTTATGGCAAGGCAGAGTGTGAATGGGAACATGTGGGTAATATATCTGTCATAATGGTGTTTAAAGTGATGGTTTAAGAACTGCATGGAATACAACTGAAATCTGAATGTTAACTACCTCCTCTTCACACACACACACACACACACACACATAAACCCATTAGGATCTTCACGACAGGCTAAGAATTTTTGTCCAGATTCAGTGGAGTGGCGTCTGCAAGTCTGAGTTAAAAAGTTACTGATTTCCAGGCTGTATGTTAAGGCAGTTCATGTAAGTAATTTCTGTGGGCTTCATAGTAAAGGAGAACAAATCGCTGACAAAGGAAACGCTTTTCAATTCAGCTGCGTCGTTAGGACGACGGCGAAGTATTCCTCAGATAATAAGTTCCACTTCAAAGGGTTTTTCATTCAACGGTGACAGCTTCGCCCTTTTATTAAGTCCCGGCGTTTTTCACTTGGAGGAATCATCTGTTTGGTTATTTTTCATCGTGTTTATTTTTCACCATTCACCGAGTACTTGTATTAGATAAACAAAGGACGATAACATATTCCAAACAATGGTTCGTAAGTGCAAAAAAAAGACCCAAGCCCACTTCAAGACCCATCCAAAAACAAAGTTGCTGATATTTGGAAAGGAAGGAAGGGGGAGAAAAGGTCAGAAAAGGTAGGGGGGGGGGGGGGGGTGCAAAACGCCTGGTGAAGAACAAAATATGAAAGATTCTGATGAAGTGAAAATTGACTGAACTAACATGGCATGAAACTAAAGGTCAATGCAACTGTATCTTAATAGACTGTCGCGAATCGAGGTAGACTGCTTTGAATGCAGCTCGCTTTTCGGGTGCTCATTGCCATAGCAATCTTAACGCGCCATGTTGATGTACCGTAAAAGCAGTAGTTTGAATTTCAAAGCGTCTGCCTTTGAACTTCTTCCTGCCTGATTAGACATTTGCGCTTTTTTTCTCTCTCTCTCTTTCTTTTTNGTCTTGGGGTGCGCTTCCTCCGCACTCTTTTTATGTTGGGGTTTTTTTTTCTAAACTGGACAGCGACAAACGGAGGCAGCCACTGTTCCTTGGGGAGGAAGCCTTGCCTTGTTTCTCAGATGTGAGCCCATTTCTGGGTCTGCTGCCTTGCATCTGGTTCTTTCCACGTGCAAACTGCAAAAGGGCCACGTGATCCCGACCAAATCAACCTCTGTACATTGAGGAGACAATAATCCCTTTTGTTTAGACTATATTCTGGTTGTTTTCGACACTAATTCCATATCAATCCCACCAACACCCTTTTTTAAAAAAAAAATCGACAGTTTCCTCTCAGCTTGAGATGAGTTCCTATGTGTCAGCGAAAAGTTACATAGACCTATATTTCAGCTTGGATATAGTTCCTATGTCTCAGTGAATAATTATATAGTTTATACACTTCCTTTATTTCTGATTGAATATTGTTCCTATGAGTTAGTGAAACAATTGAGAACCAAGTTATTGCCATCGCGTATGTTGATACTTGTATCAGATGATGAAAGTTTTTTTTTAAAAAAAGCTGCTTACATAAATACACTAATTTCCTGCCAATGTTTTCTGTATAGAGTGGGCGCTGCTCCCTTTAACTCTTGTGTTCGTTTCCTTAATTAGATGGATGACTCCTGCGAAGTGGAAACGGACGATTAATACAAATGAAGATCGTTCTGTACAAACGAGAACAAGCCGTTGAAGTTTCATTGCTGACATCTACAGAAAGTACGTTTGTTAATAATGCTAAAAGTGGACTGATTGCCGAAGGGTAAACGCCATCTACGTTTAAGTCATGCGCTGCTCATTCCTAATATATGGTGTTCTTGACAATATATTCAGATGTGAACGTCGGCCTTGCCAATTGCCATAGAAATCCTAATATACCATGAAGAGTGTCCAAGCGCCAAGCACCAAGCCTTCCGCTCAGGAGTAAATTGCTTTGAAGTGGCGCAGGACATGCAGTGGTCACATTTTCGCTCTATATGCAGGACACTGCTTACTATGAGAGTGAGATTCTGCGTTTTAATGCAGAAAATACGAAGGGGAAGCGTGTGTTTTTTTACATTCTTTACAGCGATCTGCTTATTGTTAGATATCTTTTATCTTTTATATTTCCCATGAATGATTCATGTCTTGGGTGGCTTTGTACAACCCTCCCTTTCACAAGAAACTTCATTAGAGAGCTATAAGTTTTCCCATTGATTGGCGCCTTCATTTACATGAGTGTTCTTCTGCTTCATATGCTTTTAATTGTGAATGTCACAGAAACAACCTATTTCATTTTGAAGACATATCGCTCATTCTTAGAATAGCTTTCTTGTATCCTGAGTTTGTTCTCTTACCCACGTTTCCATCTGCTCTTTGACACTTTGACCAAAATGGCTCCGGTTCATGTTGTTTTATTATATCACAGTGTATCAGCATAATGTACATTGCATTTGAAACGCTCCGTGTGTTGCCTACATTTTCTACTATCTTGAACGTGCCTCTTCCGTCAAAACTGCCTGAAATTGTTAGGAGGTCTATGTGGAATACACACTACGCCAACTGACCCGAAATAGTAGTAACCTGGATAATTAAAAATAAAGCAATCATACTTAGAGTCAATAATAATCCCAACACAGTTTCTGCAATTCTCCACTGATCAAATTGAGTAGTTATGGGAAACCTATGGGACAAAAGTTATAATACAGCTATGAGACAAAAATAAATAAATCTGGATTGTGGTATTTGGTTATAGTATTGCACTAATGCTTTCCGACCGACCGACCGTCCGTCCATCTCTCTCTCTTTATCTATCTATCTATCTATCTATCTATCTATCTATCTATCTATCTATCTATCTATCTATCTATCTATCTATCTATCTATCTATCTATCTATCTATCTATCTATCTATCTATCTATCTATCTATCTATCTATCTATCTATCTATCTATCTATTTAAATATGATTTTGCCCATTATATTGATCCAATGGCAACAATAGTAATTGTCAATATATTAAACTGACCAAATCTGAAATTTGGTGACATTTCATGCATTCTATCTGTAATCAAATACCGGACACTGTTATGATGCAGCAAACATACAATCAATTACATGTGGTTGTGCCTTCTGGCCATTGCGGCTTACCTGTATGTTAAGGGTTTGTGTGAGTGCAGTGCAGTGCAGTGCAGGGAGACGCCAGGGGGGGGGCTGCTGGTCCCGCCCTGACCTCCCACCCAGGGCAAACGTGACGTGCTCTATTGCCCTTTGACGTCATGCACACACTATGGAAGGCCATGTTACACCATCTGATAATGTGCGTGTTCACCACATATCATATATATACACAGCATATATGTATAAATAACACTACATGTTCAGCATTACTGAACTATCAGTATATCTGAACCTATGATACAAAGTCTATGATAGACTTTGACCACAAGAATCAAAGACATATGTGTGTTCAAAATAGATATTTAAAAATAGAAGTGCCATCAACCTGCCTTGAAGTTAATATTATTTTGATTTTAGGGCTCTGGCCACACGTACTTTATTTCAGCGACCATTGAGCAGCGTTGGGGATTTTAGTGTCTGCGCTATGAAGAATTGTGGCATCCTGCCTGTCTTGCACATACAGCATTGACGGAATTTACACATTTTAATACGTATCTTACTTACGGTGGAGAAAAACAATCTTCGTTTATTCGCAACTTTGAATTACAATGTCACACGGATTAACCTCCTTAGTTTCACTGAAACGGTTTTCTAAACCGAGGTTCGAATACGCATGGACTATTGATTATTTTCAAGAAAGAATTCTCTCTCTCTATTTATTTTATTCTTTCACGGTTGTGTCGATTTTTGTATTTCAATCAAAGATCTTGGAAGATGTCACAGTACAAAATGTTTGCCAATGCAGGGAAATATAAAATGGCTGCAACATGCATCATGACAGTATACTGACCAATACTGTAGCTACAGCGATTTAACTGCAATGCCGAGAAAAAAAACAATCACAGGTTTTCCTTTTCCACATTTCACATTTCATTCAAGTAAGCAGAAAAAAAATATTCTGACAAACCACAGATTGATAAACACCACGATACTGCACCAAACGTAATCATATAATTCTTTGGTGTATCTGACCTATTGCAGGAAGATATAACGTCGGCAAATAAATTACAGTTTACAAATAAAAGAACATTTACGGACAAATTATTAAGATAACTAACGATTACATCAACGACTCACAGTCTACAACAATTATGTACAAATCCTACAGGGACAGACCTGTCATTTTTACTTCTTCGGGGCCTCGGAGGACAAATTAGTGCTCTTTAGTTTGTTTGTATGAAGGCCTGAATAATTATGAGTAAAATCTGAATATTTCTGAGTATAGCCTGATGGATAGAAGATCTTTCGGAGGTGGGTTGAAAAAAATCCCTATGCCTTGGTTTTAAAAGTTAATACATTGTCTGCATTGATTTTACAGGGTCAAAAAGTCCCTGTGAGGTTCAGTATTACTGATATTTGACTCGTTTCACATACTACAGGAAAGTCTTAATCCAGCTCTTCTTTGAAGAATTGATATTTGGGCTGTGGTTTTATAGTAGAATCCAACAACGCTGATTGATTTCAACGGAACATATATTGGGAATTTCCAGAGGTTGCACACTATTGTCCATATAATGTGGTTTACTCCTTCGCTGGTATCACAGTCCCGCTTCACTCCACAGCCCATTGCCAGCTCTTCGGTATTAGGAGCGGAGAGGTATGTGATATACCAGTTCCAACAAACTTAGTCATTGTCCGATGGGGGAAGGGGGTAATACTGCTCTCGTCATATAAAAATGTTGTGTATTCACATATTGATTTGAAATAATCAATATTTACATTCTTAAGATAAACCAAATTGTGGACCAATTTAACTTCGACGTTCACAATACAATCCTGACTGACACAGAGAATGAAATCACAGGCCAGAGTGTTATACGAGATCAAGTCATAGTTCTTGTGGCTGAAGCGACCTACGAGGCTTGAACTTAGCTGGTCGGAGATGCCCATGGAATACATCAGTTGATTTGAGACGATGAACACCGCTGCCACTAAAACCCTCCCGACTCACTCCAAGGTGCCACCTGCACACCTCTCCAACACTCCTGTGTCAGAGCATAGTCCTGGGATTAGAGTTCCTGTAAATCTCCTCGTCCTCAGATTCAGACGATGTGCCATTGCTTGAAGGTGTGTGCAGGTTATTGGCAGCCCCGCTGCCCTGACAAACGTACCACTCATTGAGGTTGGTGACCTGCGAAGAGACGCTGCCAGGGCGGCCCCTGGCCGGCTCTGAGGCCGGAGACACCATCCCCAAGGAAGCGGCTGAGGGCTCGTAAACGGAACTGTGGGGAGGTGGGGGGATTTGCAGTGGACTTTCATGTGTTTGCGGAGCGAGCTGGGGTGCGTGTACGATTTGTCGCAACCTCTCACTTTACAGTTGTAAGGCTTGTCACTGGTGTGGACGTGAGAGTGTTTCTTCCTGTCGCTGCTGTTGGCAAATTTCCTGTCACAGCCGTCGAACTCGCATTTAAAAGGTTTCTCTCCTGAAAAAAAATTAAAGCACGCAATGAGCAAGAATATTTAAACCCAATCTGCGATCATTCGTGGTGGGCTCACGTAGCTAAACTGTTCGTGCAATTTTGTTTCTTTAAATTGGCTTCTAAAAAAAAATCGCTCTCCGCTAAATACCCAAACATACACTTGTAATCGTTTTAGCCTTGATTTTGAAGGTAAATATTTCCCAAATAAACGTGAGTGAGTGTACAAAATGGAACTTGTGTACCTTTAGTTAGCTATTAAAGTTCATTAACTAATCACCGATTTGTCCCCTCCTTCAAAAAGACAAAATTGGACGGCTTACGTTAAAACAAGTGTATCTTATTTAGTTGGCATTTAGTTTGGTAATAATCCAATGTAGAAACCAAAAACTATAGCTTCCGATGACATCATGCACTTTACCAAAATTGAACACAGTTACTCTGAAGTACAGAGAAGAGACAGCATTTTCATTTCCACTGCACCTTTCAATCATTGCCAATGTTGACGTTTTCCTCAATTTAGTGAAATTGACTTTGAAATGAAGTTAGCTAAAACTTTTCAGACATCCTGTAAACAAAAACACGAACTGCGGAGAATATTGAAGTTTATTTTGTATCGTCTGAATCGATATTTCAGGTCGTTAGGAAGAGTTAATAGTAAAACAAAACTAATAGTGGTTCGATATTTACTTAGCCAGAGATAGTTGACTCTGAAAAAAAATCTGCAACACATCCAATTAAACATCATTACATTTGTCAGAGACTGTGGAAATGAGCCAGGGGCCCTTTTTATTGCTTCGTGTATTTCCTATATTCTTCATTGTATAATTCAGTATCTGGTAATCATATATCTGGACAAATTTAACCACATCTTCATTATTAGAGATTAGGCCTGTTACAACGCCAAACAGTAAGAGTAGCACTTAAAATATACCAACAAATCACTTCTGGTCAACCACACATCTCACTAAAGAGCTTCTGCGGCCTAAATCGAAATGCAGAGAGCTTAAGAATTTCCCCCCTGTGTGGTTCAAGCTCGTTACATAAAGAAGAAACCGCTGTATTTGAATAAGTTTGTTAAAATAATGAAAAATTCCAGGAGAACCGGCAGCCATCTTTACGGGTGTATGTAGTTTGTGGTCGAAAGCATTTTTTTTCCTGGCATTCAATGAGTTCTTACGTCCATTTGTTTTTATTAATTTCTGATATGGAGCTACCTGCGTGGTCTTCTTCCTACAACAAACACACATCAAATGAAAAAAAACCTCTTCATTTTAAGGCGAGTTTATTTCACAGGGTTGGAAACCAGAGCTGGAAACATTCAGTGGCGAGACGCCTTGCAATTGCTTCCTAATCCTTTGGCCGGTCTTGATCTATTGGTATGCAGTGAACACTATATTTTGGTTTGTGAACAACTGCAGCGTATTGCAGTGGTTGCCCGTTAACTGGCACACGAATTGCCTGATGTTCGGCCGGCGGTTACTGGTCGAGTCGTAGCCCCGAGCTACCGGGAAGAAGAAAGAGGCTGAGAGGCTTGGATTGCCGGGAGAGACTTTCCGTGAGCTGAGACCCAGAGAGCACTTGATTGATAAAACAAGTCACTCTGCAACACAACCGCATTCATGACTTGCCGAGTAAACAGAACCCAATCGTGTGTGACAGCACCTTTATAAATCACCAACTTGTGCGACCAATGATCGCCGCATTTCGCATTAAAAACATGTTTTTTTCTGGCTCTTTTGGATTTATTTTATATTGCATTTATCAGCACAAAATAACATTTCCTTTCCCTGCCAGTTTTCGTAGGATCAAGACCGCTGGCTTTGACAGGACGCACAGAACAACTCGCACCCTTGCCGGATTGAAAAGAACAACATTGGACAAGCTGCACTGGAAGCAAAAAGACAAGGTTTCCCTTTAAACCTGAGGCTTTCTGGTCACACGACTGCGCCTGGATTTCCCAAAGGGTGGAAATAGATTAATGAGGACACGTGGAATTTAACTGTCACAAAGTATTGAAATAAACTTTTCTAATATAAATACTTTAATCAATAATAGTATTTTGCGAGTGTTCTTTAACCCTAGGACATATTTACGAGTAGATTGACCATGCTCTGTTTAAACCGACTGCTGTAGTGAAACACACAGTGCAGTCCAGTTAATGAGGCTGACTGGAAACTGCGCCTGTCTTGATCACAATTTTGGCAACATCAGATGCCACTCATTCCACCAAGCACCAAGTTTTACTGTAACATTACCCTTCAGCTCCACAAAAGTGAAAAGAAAGTAATTCTTATTCCCGTGTGGGCGTGATTACCATTTTTTTTGTTATTCATAACAAAGCGTTGCCTCTCACCCAATTCTTTTTAAATTAATTATGAGCAGTGATTCCGCACCCCCCTCCCCACCCCCAAGCCACTATTTTTAGTTTACGTATATATATGTCGTTGGATTCCATTATTCATGTTGTGGCCAGTTCTTAAAATATCAGCAATGGTCATTTTATAGCTGGCATAAGAAACGTGTTGGCTTCGAAAAAGGCCTTAAAAGGGCTGGAATCGTCAGGAAGAGTTTTTGTACCGCCAGGTAGCTGTGGTTTTGCGTTACATCAAAGCGTACTTTGGTATCAGATTTTAGAGAATTGTTTTCAGATCAGTTTTGAATAAAACCTGGTTTTAGAGGTTAATTGTCTCCCCACTTCCTGCTTAGAGATAAAGGATGGGAAACGACTTCACGATATCCCCTCCATTACCGGAGGGGTCCCTGCATCCTCCGCTTCAGCAAAGATCGTCAGTTCTCTGTGTTTTTCACTGTGTTTTGGACTTGTGCAACATATTCTTTAGATAAAATCTGTAATCAGTACAGTCATGGACCATTTGCTTTAACATTTAAACAACAAATTAAGAAGGCATTAAACGAATAGGTGTAACGCTATCTGTTTATGCCCTGTGACAGCACACTATAAATCAGTGAAAACAATTAAGTAAACCATACGTCAATAAACATTCTCTAAGGGATAATATCTGTCTGCAACAATAAATTCTGACCAGGTTGGCTTTTTTTTCCGCCAAAACCGAAACGGTGTGCGTCTGCAGATCCGCAGTAAACTTTTGCAAGTTGTTGGAAAGGGACGCACCCTCGGGGGATCTGGATCCAGAGCTTGCTTGTGAATCCACGCAGCGTGTTTGTGTCAGGAAATATGCCTTTTACTAATTGTTAGCCAGAAGATTGAATAAATCGGCGTGATCAGACTTTAAGTGGACGTGGTTACAAACGAGTACAGTTTCCCTTTCCCCCGAAACATCCAAGGGATTGGTTGAAACCTTTAGGACAAACGCTGTCCTTGTTGATAAAGTCTGCGGATCTTTCATTTGCACCACTTTTATTTCCAGTTGCTTGGAATACCTGGCGGGTGTTACATTATGCAAGCCTGCCCACTTGCCAGTCTCAAGACCACCAAATAATCGTTTTGAAATGTTTGAATTAGACTCGCAAACTGGCGGTCAGGAAACAAAGAAACAGCTCAGCTTTTAGCACGTTTAAAGTTACCCTATTTGTGGGTCACACAATCAAAAGTCCCTTCTGTCGCCTCTTTCAAAAATAACCTGTGTTTCTTCGATATAGCATTCTAAAAATTGCCAATAAATCGAAAAAAGGGGGAAAAAAACGTTCTCGAACTTATTTGTCACTCTGCACCCTTTAGATTCGTAATTCACAGAAAACAAAGTGAGCTTTTTATTTAACAGCGTTCCATGAGCCACGATAACATGCGTTTGCTGATGGGATAGGAATAAAGTGAAAACTGTCTGTAGATACCAACCTGTGTGAGTCCTTTTATGTATCTTCAAGTTTTCTGAGCGTGCGAATACTTTGCCACAGCCGGGGAAGGGGCAGGGGAAAGGCTTTTCGCCCGTGTGCACTCTAATGTGATTCACCAGTTTGTATTTCGCCTTGAACGGTTTCCCTTCTCTAGGGCATTCCTCCCAGAAACAAATGTGGAGACTCTGCTCAGGTCCTCCGACGTGCTCCACCGTGACATGGTTTACCAACTCATGCATGGTGCTGAAAGTTTTGGAGCACGGCTTCTTTGAAGTCTGCTCCTGGTCAATCCATTTGCAGATTAACTCTTGCTTGATAGGTTGCCTCATATACCTAAAAAAGGCCCCGGCTCCGTGATGAGCTGCTGCAAGGTTAACGTTTAAGTTCATGGAGTTGTAGCTGTGCAGAGAAGAGGACGGGTAGTGGTCAGCTCTGTGGCTGAAGTGCTCTGGCCTATAGATGTCCCCTGGCAGACCCAAACGCATCTGTCCATTTAAATTGTGCTGGGATGCCGGGGCAGCCTGTTCATGGAGCCCTGAAAAGACCTCTGAATGCCCATAGCTACCTGTTGCGGACACAAACATGCCATGGTGATGATGATGATGGTGGTGATGGTGATGGGACGAGGAAGGTGGATGCTGATCGGTCAATCCATGCATGGCAGATGCTGAAAGATCCCTCCTGAGGATGTATTCCCTGCCGCTTGCGTAGCCTGAATGAGGATGGCCCACTGGGTAGCTGACTGAGGTCTGTGCAGAGCCGAAAGCCGCCGCCGTCTGGGCTTCAGGATGTCCAGCCATGTGCTGTGAGGGACTTAGTTTGAGAGCACTGGGCTGGGCCATGTGCTCGGGCCCAAAAGGGCTGAGAGGCACGCTGGGGTCGTTGTTTATCTCCCCAGGGTGGATATGTGCATGGCCACCCAGCCCCGGGAAGCCTGTCATATTCTGGTGGGGATGGTGTTGACTTGCTGCCAAATCCGCTAATCTCAGTGCCGGATTCCGCTTGCTTAACGCGGGCTCCATAACTACACAGTCAGTCCATCCACATTAGTTGGCGTGTTTTTTTTTCTTCCCTAAACAAAGTCTGAAAATGTATTATTGAACGTACTCAAAGTACTTTTTTTTTGCACTCTTAACTCTGCCTTTCCCATTCTGTCCTCAAGCGATTGGCAGAACATAGACCAGTTGGGTGACACAGTGGGGAAATATAGTTTAGTGATGGCAGGGCCGGGATTGGACATTTTGGGGTTGATTGGCAGGTACATGGTTCAGGCAATTCGCCTATTTTCCGCAGAGCAGCGCAGCGGGATCCGCCCTCTCCAACCTGCACTCGCACAGTGTTTCTCTGCTCAAGTTTCACTTCAGAATTTAGGGAAACGAGGCATTGATTTTTCACACGCTCGAAAAATACGCCAAACCTTGGGCAAAGGATTACCACGATGACCATGTTTTTCCTCCAGAGAGTTTAATTTTTTTTTTTGCATCAACACTCGTTATGTGCGCATTCCTTCAATTTCATGACGAATGTGAAAATTGCTGCTGACAAGTCACACACGAATAGTGGATTGTTTTCAGAAATAGATTTCCAAAAAGAAATCTGAAACTTATTTTGTTTCTCGCGAGGATATAATATTTTGTGTACATTTTGTTGATACGGTGTTATACACTAATATTAACATTTGAATATTTTTAACTCATAGCTTATATGCTAGATTCATAATTTATATATGTTTGGAATGGTAGCTGGATCTTTATATTTGAGGATGTTATGGTTAAGAATTTTACTAATAGTACACAAAACCGAAATTAAGAATGACAATCCAACACACTAAACATGGGATTTATATTCATTTAACACCGTAGTTGAAGACGTAATGTATTAAAAAAATACACGATTCACAAATAAAACTAACAATTCTGGGGATGTGATACAATTTATTTAATTGAGATATTCTATATATCATTCATGGTAGTAACTATAACAACTAAAGAATAACAAATATCAGGTTTCGTAAGTTTTGAGATTCATGATCTAAATTTTATATTTATAATAATAATAATTTATATTTACTTTAATGCGCGGGTTTATCATCCAATATTAGAACGTATGGCACAACATGGAAGATAGATATTTCATTCTTCAGCGTCGTGGAAGAAAGATGTACCAAAATAATAATGGCAATCTATTCACAACGTGGACCTCGCTTGGAAGTATATAAATTTGGAATGAGAATATATTCTGTTTTCTTCATATGCAATGCAACATAAGGTATAACAGAAGTGCTTCATAACACTTGATATCACATGGAATCCGTTACTCTCATTTGTGTTTTTTCACGACTCCTATATAATATTCAATAAAGCATTAACCTAACATAAATGAATTAAGTCAATCTCTTCCCTCATTTGTTTTGTATTCGGTTACGTCTTGCACTTTCCCAAGAAAAGAATCAAGCATATTTTGAATTGTTTTTACTGATTGTCTTGAATTTTACACTTACTGATCTGTATAGGTTGGTGAATGAATGCTACACTTCCGATGGCAGATGGCATGGGATCCCGTGTTATACAACTTTACGGACTCAACAGTTGTAAATATGGTTTCTCAATAAAAATTTACGAGGTTAATACAGTACGTTTGGATTGTTTAGTATGAGTAGATTTATGTAGCTTTGTGCATGATGAAAGAACATGCAAAGTGCATGGTGTATAATGTGCCACAACAACAATTCTTCTGAAAATTTTACACGTTTCAAACAAAAGTGATTCTATGATATATGAACCATTTAAAAACACAAAATAGTTAGTGGCATATTACATTATTTTGATATAGAAAAGCAACAGATAACAATTACATAAAATATTTCTTCGTCGATAAAGGCTCATGTTTAATATGAATCTTTAAAATTCAGCAATACCGTTTTGATAAATGATTATATTTGCATCATCAAAATAGACGTTCATTAAACTTAAAGAAATACGCATTTAAAACTGATATCGCCATGCTATGTGAAAACGATTTCTTTTTCTGTTTATTATCGACTCAGCTACCTCTATGTGAACATATTTGAACATTTTTCACAGTCAGCAATCTTAAACATTAACTGAGATAATTAGAAATCATGACTTAGAATCACATCAGGGGTTGTGTGGAAAATGTTGTGTGGTTATGTTTTATGAAATAAATACAATGAAAGAAAGTGAATGAGAAACAGTGCTTATAACTGCTATTGAAAACGCTTTCTTAAATAAACTCTTTAAATTTGCTTCTCCTAATCCCACTATTCGAAAATCTTTCTAAATCTTCCCGATGTCAGTGTCGAAAGATGAAGGAGACCGTTTACCAAAAGTAACCTCAGCAAATCGGAGAGTCCTTGCAAAATCTTGTAGTGCACAGCTGATGATAAATCACAATATTTACTGGATTTTGACATCATGACTGGTCGCACTTCACAAACTTTTATCAGACATAATTCTTAACTTTAAATGATATAACTTTAAATGACATGACCTAATAATGATGTATCGGTTCTTTCAACAACTTTCTGTTACATAACCCACGCTTTCGCACAAACGTCCAGTTGGTCATCTGTGTTCGGGAGGTTACCAGAGCTAAATGCTCAACTTAAAGGTATAGTTTCTGTATAGAATTTTTAAAATTCCAAATATGCATATTATTCAACGAACTATAAAATAGCACACGTCCTCTTTACAATGATATGTCATGGCTGCTTAATGTGACATGCCTGTAAACAACGATTATTTGGCCGATCACTTTGATTTCCAACCAGAATGCTATTCTTTATTGATATTATTTTTGTGGTTGTTCCTTCGAATTGTGCAGGATGCGCAGGTAGACGATGTGTGTTGTACGCGTGTATATACTTTTGTACATTGGTTTTCGTGTATTTTACTGTACATTTAACTTGGACCGTTCTTTATCACTAACAGTAGCATTAGGCTTTTTTCACCTTCGTGGTAAATTCACATTTCACATTTCCGGAACAACTCCAAGCCTTAAAGTTGGATGTCCTTGAAACGTCCTTTGCGAACGTCAGGTGTTTGTACCGCCCTCATCACTCCACCAGGGCACATGACGATGAGTATGAACTCCCAGCAATTATTAACAAAGCAAACAAAACTAAAAATGATATTTATAATATATTATAATATATAATAACGCGACAAATAGCTCAATCTCGGCATTCTGCCCTGATATTTTGATGTAGGGTAGATTGATTTTCGATTATAATCCAGTTAAACGGATACTATTGTTCCACCTTTGCTTTGTAAACAATCTGCATTGCCTGCAATGGGTCTGAGTTCTCCAACTCATTCATTTCTTCTTTTGGAGTTATAACATAAAGGATGACATCTGGTTACTAATGTGAACTGTTTCTTTTGATATAGAAAGTTGGCAAAATATTTGCATAAACATGATTTGCATATGACACGATGCATATGGTTGCTTCATTTTTAATGACAATTACGTTGCTCGGTCTAGTAAAATGCATAACTCCAAGGAACAGACACTGTAAGGCTATGTTATGTGTGTGGAAGGATGATGGCGTTTCTTTCTTATTGCACTGTGAAACCTAAAAAAGAAAAATGCGGCGAAATGCCAATTGATCATTCTTTTTCTTTCCAAAAGACAACACCTTGAGAAGAGCCCGAACCTTTACCAAAGCTAAATCTTTGAACCGAGAAGAAGCAATAAAACAATTGCAAGTTAAGTGTCACTTTTGCACTTCCAAACAAAAGTTTCCCGAATAGCCTTGACAAGCCGCTGGACACGAGAATAAAGAATTATGATTTGAGTGTCCGAAGGCGTTGTGAGAGCAGTGCCACAGTGACAGTGTACGAGTGACACACGCGCCTCTTTGTAGCGCTCCTTGATCCACGCAGCATGATGTGCATCTGCCATCGATTAGCACGTCTTAATATATACTTGTCTCTGTGATCGATTTATTTATTTCCATTTGCTTTTCTGAAAATTGTTGCAAAAACGTCGCAGAGAAAACCGAACTGAAACGTGTGGAAATCGCCGATTTGTTGACGAGGTGGTGAAGCATCAACCGACATGAGATGCGAGTGGAACAGCAAAGAGAGTCCTGCCATCTTTCCCTCAGTGGACAACTCCAGTTGTCTGCAAATGATGATTTCCACATCATGTGATAAGTGCAAAAGATATTTCAGAAAATATCTGGCACCAATTTTCTCTTTCCTAACGCTGCTACAACCCAGGATAGAGTCTGTCCGATCAATGAGGTCCCAGCTAAAAGAGAAACTCATTAAATACCATCCTCACATTATAATTATACTGCATTGGTTTCCTGTTTCTGTTTTTCCAGGCTTGGTTATTTTTTAAGGAAATTGCTTCCGATTTCCCCGGTGTTTTAATATCTCTTATTACTCTTTCAAAGCATGATTGTATTTCCAGTTCATATTCTAACTTTAGCATATTCTAACTTTTGACTCTGTTTTTGGTGGGATACCAGCAACAGCTCAAAATACAGTTAAGCTATCGAGCAGCCTTGTGTCATCTTTGAAAGAGGAACAATGCAATCCAATGTTTAAAGGCTTGAAAACTGCTATAGTGGGACCATAAAGTGCAATATGTTCCCATTAATGCGGCTTAGGGAAATAAAATGGTGCGAAACATAGGGCTGAAATTTGGAAAACAGAAGCCTGTATTATATGTTTCACCATTCCACAGGAGATATTGCATGAAGGCATCAAGTGATGAAGAATGGAAGAGGGCGAGACAATTCAGAGAGAAGAAAGCCAAGAGCTCAAGAAAACTATGGATCTTTGGGAAAGAATAATGGATAGCACAGGAAAATAAAATAGAATCATTCGATGAGGGTGAAAATTGAGAGGGCGCAGACCATGGCAAACGCAGACATGATCAATAATCAAGGTAGCCAGGGTGACGAGTGAATTCAGGCACCAGGACACAGCCGTGTAATGTTACTGTCCCTCGTTATAATATGTTGGCTATGGATAAATACGGGTGGGCGAAATGTATT